GATGGGGTGAGGTGGTGGTTGGAATAAGAATTCCCTTGGAATGCTGGGCATTCAAAAAGCACCCACCACACACTCTTGCCAATTACACAATCCAAATCAATTACTGTACCCATAAGTGTTTACTGACTTCTACATATTCAGGAATTCAACAATCCATAGCTGAGGTTGTAGACCAAATAGGCTGGAGAAATGGGTTAAACTAGAGATTGAGTGTTGTGTTGTGGATCATGAGCATTCTCAAAAGAGTGCTATTGAAGGTGTATGTGTGTGTGTGTGTGTGTGTGTGCGCGCTCGTGCGTGCGTGCGTGCGTGCGTGCGTGCGTGTGTGTCAGATTTCGCTCATTGGTCCACACTTTCAGACAAAAAGTTGTTGTTCTTGTAGCCTACTGAATCTATTTTATGAAACAGATTTCCTGCTCTGTAAAAAAGTACAGTATTTTCCGCACTAAAAGGCGCACCTTAAAGCCTTGCATTTTCTTAAAAGCTCACAGCGCACCTTAAAATCCAATGCACCTTGTGTATGGTCATTACGGTACTATTTCGACCCCAAAATGGCTCCTTGCCTCGAGACATGCTGACAACGCAGAGTTTAAACTTAAGGTGATCGGTTACGCAGTTGAACACGGAAATAGAGCAGCGGCAAGAGAGTTCAACGTTAATGAGTCAATGTTATAACTTGCTGTTGGTTAAGTGAACTGTGTCGCTGCTTTATTAAATACGTTTTACTGACATCTGATCGTTCTGTTGGTGTTTCCTTGAGCGTAGCTCCATCTAGTGGATGCATTGTAGATTGCATCTTATAATGTGGTAATAATAATAATAATAATAATACATTACATTTATAAGCGCCTTTCAAAACACTCAAGGACACTTTACAATCAAAACAATGGGGCCGGCGGGAGGACGACCAGAGGAGGTGATGACCCTGGAGCCATCGAGGTGGAAGCCCCGACGAGATCCACGGCGGATGTACCTCTGGGAAGGACGAGGAGTGACGCCCGGGAAACGGTGCGGCGCAGGCGGGGAGCCCGACCACCGGAAGCGGAGTCCAAGAAGCCCCGCCACTGAGCACCGCAGCAGCGCCCCACGGGCAGACGGAGGAGCGACAGGACGATCCACAGCAGCGTAGCCCAGACAGGGGCCCCGTCGACCCCCACCATGGGGCGCAGAGGGGCGGAGAAGGCACGGAGCACCGTCCGACAGCCGAACAGGCAGGACGCCACGACAGCGCGACCGAGGACAACCAGGCGACGACCGACGGTCCAAAACCACAACGAATTGCGACAGGAGATGAGGGTTTCTCCCATGACGAGAGTAAACCGTAAAAAAAAAAAAAAAAAAAACGTAAAACAAACGCTAAAAAAGAATAATAGCGGGTGAGCAGCGGCAGCCAGACGCGCCAGCGTTCACTCAACCCGGAAGTGTTGGTGCGCCCAATGTATGAAAAAAAATTATAAAGTAGGCCATTCATTGAAGGTGCACCTCATAATCCAGTGCACCTTTTAATGTGGAAAATACGGTAACCATCTTGAAACAACTTTAATCAACGCAAGGGGGCTTTTTAAAAACACTTATAATCCCTACTTTAGGCTGAAAGGTAACCAAAAAAAAAACCCAGAATCTTGAGAATTTTTGCAACATCTGTGAGCATGTGAATGTTAATTCGCCAGCTGACAAGTACTGTTTGGCCAATCATAAGCTTGTTCTCCTAAAATTTGTTCAAATACAGTTCTGCATGGAGGAGTTAGGAACCAAGTGCAGGGTAGTGAGAAAGTAAAGTCAAAAACAAAAAGGCAAACAAAATGGCTCAGGAAAAATGTAAAGAAACAAAAAAACTAATATCACGACAGGACAACACTTCAACACTATCAGAAACAATGAACTGACAAGCACAGAAAGAAACCAGGGAACCCAATACAATCAAACTGATGAGCAAACTAGGAACACCTGGTCAAGAAATAAGTGGCTGAGGGGGCTGATTGGTAGAGTCAAGGAACTGGGCTGAAGAGAACAGGTAGACACAAAACCTAAATAAGACCATCCATTATCTAACCCTTTTCCGGGGACGGGTCGCGGGGACCATAGCTTTAGCAGGGAAGCCCAGACTTCCCTCTCCCCAGCTACTTCTTCCAGCTCTTGCCGGGGCATTCCAAGGCGTTCCCAGACAGAGTCTCTCCAGTATGTCCTGGGTCGTCCCTGGGGCCCCCTGCCGGCAGGACATCCCCTGAATACCTCACCAGGCAGGCATCCAGGAGTCATCCTAATCAGATGCCTGAGCCATTTCATCTGGCTTATCTCAACGTGGAAGAGAAGCGGCTCAACTCTGAGCCCGTCCCGGAGGATGGAGCTTCTCACCTAATCTCGAAGAGAGAGTCCGGACACCCTGCGGAGAAAACTCATTTCGGCCACTTGTATCCGGGATCTCGTTCTTTCGGTCATGACCCATAGCTTGTGACCAAAAGTGAGGGTAGGAACGTGGATCGACCAGTAAATTGAAAGCTGGTCCACTGTTCCACGGCCGGGAAGAAAGCCACAACAAATCAGCCTAAGCAAGACAAACATAAAAAAAGGGACCCAGGGAAAACACAACAAAATTAATGGTTACCTTTATTTGTGATTGAGCATGTTTGTTTGTTTGTTGGTTAACTACTTGAAAGAAGTAATTTTGAAGGGGAACGTTGGCGTTTCCAAAAAAAAAAAAAAAGCCCAAAACTTTTCATCATACATTACAACTGACTGTATGACATGAAAGGAAAGTATTATTTAAATCAGCTTTAGAAAAAATAAGCCCTGACTGGCCTCTTGCAGGGACACGCTAAGTACCTCCTTTTGATTTTTAATTGATTGTACATTCCAAAGAAAAAACAATATCAAACCTGTCGCATTTGTGGTTTGAAACTTTGGAGCATGAGTAGCTAAGATTGAGTTGTTTACCGTGCACATTCGTACAACACACGTCTCGGCTTGGCTTTGGTCAGAGACTTCCGGGGGCAGTGGTAGGAGTGAAGTGAAGTTACATTTAAATATTGGTATGAGTTAGAAAATCACAACCTTCCCCTTGAACACATTTTTCCAAAACGTTGATGGGAACCACATGGGCCCTGTGGAAACTCAAACTTTTACGAAGATCCACATCAATGGGTGGTCCAAGTATAAATGGAGGAATGCATATTTCAGCAGAAATGGTTCACTGAGGAACTTTTCAAAACCTGTTTATAGCTCATTGACAGTAAACCCAGAAAGGCGAAGGTACTGAGGTAAGCTGCCGTTTAGCATTGAACACTGAGCTAGGTTGCTCCAGCTCTCAAAGGGGTCAAAATGGGCACTCCCAGACCCCTTTGAGAGCCACTCGTCAGTTTGAACACCTTTACAATCTTGTTTTTAAATAATTTTTGTCTATAGAGTTTTGGATCGCAGCCAGGGAGTGAAGTGGTTAGTCCGTCGACCTCACAGTGCAGAGGTTGTGGGTTTGATCCCGGCTCCGGCCTTCCTGTGTGGAGTTTGCATTTTCTCCCCGGGCCTGTGTGGGATTTCTCCGGGTACTCCGGTTTCCTCCCACCTTCCAAAAACATGCATGGCAGGCTGATTGAACACTCTAAATTGTCCCTAGGTGTGAGTGTGACTGCAGATGGTTGTTCGTCTCTGTGTGCCCTGCGATTAGCTGGCAACTGGTTCAGGGTGTCCCCCGCCTACTGCCCGAAGACAGCTGGGATAGGCTTCATTACCCACCGCGACGCTTGTGAGGATAAAAGCGGATTGGAAAATGGATGGATGGTGTTTTGGATCTGTTGTCTTGAGAATGGTTAAAAGCTACATTAAATAAATCAAATTAAATGTTTTGTTCTTTTTTTCACGCAAGGAGTAAGGAGTTACCTTACATTGGCATATTTTGAATGACGGGCATCCTGTCAGACAGGTGTCAGGGATGCACTTTTTTTCTCATTGTCCCAGAAAAATAGAAAACGCTATCAGACAATCAGTGAATTGGTATCACCTGTGGTCCATGGTTGAGCTTGGTGCGATATCAAACTTTATGCACATAAATTATAACTGAAAGCTGTAATCAAGTAACGCAAATAAATCCTGCTTACAAGATAAACAACTCCTTCTTCTTCGGTTGTGCAAGATGGATTGTAAAGCGTGTGTCCATGGACGTGCAACTTGTCTTCCATTTGCTGAATAGAATATGCTGGACTCTGATTGGCTTTAGCTACACGGCTGTCAAGCGATTTTGTCACATTGCTTCTATATTGTCCAACTTGATCAACAAGGCGAGGCAGACAAACACGCCCCATCCCAAGTCTCGCACTTCGTCACACCAATTTGCATGTTTGCAATTATTTTTGAATTATATTTAGTAGTATTTTTGGTATAACACTCAGACCTAGGAGCAATTTAGAGCATTCCATTAACCTGCCACGCATGTTTTTGGAATGTGGGAGGAAACCGGAGTACCTGGAGAAAACCCACGCAGGCACGGGGAGAACATGCAAACTCCACACAGGAAAGCTGGAACCGGAATCTCACCCTGCACCTCTGCACTGTGAGGCCGACGCGCTAACCAGTCGTCCACCGGTCTGCCCCTGGTTAAATACATGTACGATGGAAATGTAGCATAACTGTGGATTTGTTCAGTAGAGACCTGGAGGCTGCAGTGTCCAGCTGAAGGGGCAGGAACCCGTTCCACCATGTATCACTTCAATGGCTTGATGCAGAAATGGAGAGAATGATGGTCAGGCTCAACCACCCAGGTGAAAAAAATCAAGGGCTTTTGAAGTTGGTAACAACAGCATACCCTGGAGAAATTGTTCATCTTTCCAGAGCCCTAATGTTTCTCTCTGTTAGCTTGGCAAGCAGTTGTGCATGTAAGGTGGGACTCAGAGCTGCAGTTTGTAGAGTCAGCGTGCGATGGCCCCATGCCATCTTGCAATATTCACCTCAACGCTGATATTAGAGGAGGTGGGTCCGAGATTAGCTGGCCAGGATGTGAATGAGCATAGCGGGTCACCTCTCGTCGCTAGCTTCAGCTTGTCGCCATAAGGAAAAGATTCATACCAGCAGGACCACTGGGAATGGTGGCTTGAAATGAAGCTCTGTCATCATCACCAATGGTATGTCCAATAATGCGGTATGTGGTAATAACAAATTTGATTCATTTCACAACAGCACCAACCATCACAACACTTGTGATGCCTCATGATCATGATGTCATACTGTCATAGCATTATGGCTTATGGCCATATACTACGGGCTATAAAAACAGCAGCTAAGGTACGCCATGTTGAAAGACAATTTTTAGCAAAGGGCTATTCTGATTCAGTTCCATTTAGACCTTTTGGAAAGAAACCGTTTGTAAATTGTAAAACTATTTTTTTGTCTTTCTGCAGAAACAATACAGTATGTGGGCGAAAGCAAAAATCTCTTCACTTTGGCCAATCCTGAGAACATTACTCCTGTTGTTAAAATTGAATATTATTACAAGAAGCCCTGCTGTTCCAAATGGGTGAAATAATGCAATAAAAAAAAACAAAAAAAAACCTCTGCAAAATCTAGAGGTGAAAAAAACAAGTCTACTTTACTCTGCCATGTACTGTAAATGATTGTCAGGACTCGTAAAACAGAAGCTAGGAAGGAAGTTTGATTGAAAGAGCAAAGGCACATTGCCTACTAACTATAATGACCCCTTCTCTCCCGCTGTAACGCTTAAGAAGATGAAACGCACTGATCCAAATCATTTTAACACAAGCTGACTAATTCACATTTAGACTGATTTCAGTCCATAATATCTCAGCTCAGATGTTCAGAAAGTTTATTAATACATGAAAGAAAAGGCCTAAGTCTATAAATCTATCATGAAATTTTAAACAGTCTTGCATATCTTGCCTTTCATCTGTTTTAAAGGAACTATCCTTCTTTGGCTAATGAAAACATGGCTGCTGCTGTGCATGAGTGAAACGACCGACATCGGTTAAGGACCTCTCTCCATGTTGATGAAACTCGTGGCCATGCTGTACTACACTTTATAGTGCAAATCCTCAGACACACTTTCATCTGAAATGATTTGCTTGCGAGTCTTCCCTTTCAGCAAAAAAGCTGACAGACACCAAAGGATACAGAGGAGACTCAAAATGTGAATGACTCAGACACTACAAAATATGGAATTCAACCAAGTATTGTTGGCAAAACATTCCACCAAAGTAAAAACTTGACTGGTGAACATTCATCACGCACAACAAATTTCACTCTGCCTCAGCCTTAGTGTGGACAAATTTGGAGCTTCGAGAAAAATACACCCACAAAGTAATTGAATGTTTGAGAAAAAATACTGAAAATGTATGAATGAAATTCAGCCATTGCTTTTGTATTTATTCTCTGAATAAAATAATATATATAATATATAATCATGTCCGACAATCGTTCTCCTACATCACCTGTTTTGCAAATTGCAAGACTATTAAGTCTGCTCAGCCGATGAGAGGATGGACAAATATTGATATCACTCTAAGGTCAAGTTCTGTAAATGTGAAATCTGGTTGATTTAATGAAAAAAAAATACAATTACAAAAAAAAAAAAGGAAAAAGCCATCACAAATAGTGCCTATTTGTCAAGGGCAAGCACTAATTCTGAAAGCCCTGGGCAAATTACATTGACATGGTAGCACATGGAAACTGAAATTTGATTGCTACACAATGCACACACAATTGAATTTGATTGGACAAATAAATAAATGAATAAATAACTGTTATCATAAACACAACTGGAGGCTGGGAAACCAAACTATGAAATGAAGCTAATTGACTGTTGGAAATAAATTAAAGTTTTACATGCACATCTGGTTAGGCTCTGGAAAGCCTCGTCGGGGTTGAATTTAATGTTGGTTTTCACACTTCCACATCATTTCCTTAATTATGTGGTCATGGGGGGTGAGATGAGGTTGTCAGTCATAAAAACTGACGGAGTTGACGTTTGACGGAATTGACACAAGGGAAAGTATTTTCCTGACAAAACATGAAAATAACTTCAAATTGCAACAATGATTGGGTTCTGATCGGATCATTTCTGTTGAGTTTAAGTCAAATGAGGACCCGTGAGTAACCAAACGGGACAAATGAAAATAATAATAGTGAAGGGAAGGAACAACCCACCCTCCCATGATATAGTTTTCAGTCATATCGCTTAGCCCTACTCACTTCCTTGTTTTCAACCAATCAGTCGCATTTGATCAGGCCACCAGGCATGCCAAAATCTTAAAAAAAATCATTGTCTTGCTTTAGTACCTAGTTGTTGTTTACTAAATCTGAGACATGATTGGTTATTACCTGAGCCCTGAGCATTTGTGATGTCATTTTCAGTCAACAGCGACTGGAAAAATGTCCACCTACGGAGATGGAGAAAAATTGGTGGATTTTACTACTTAACTCATATTCCATAAACGCAATATTGATCAGAATGCTGTGATTGGACTACTGGTGCAGCATAGAACATATTATTGGAAAGACATTTTTTGGTTGACTTCCCTTTAAATTGGAAAGTGTTATGGCTTTCTAATTTATATATTTATTTATATCACGTACTTAATTAGCTTTTTGACATAAGGTAACTTATGGTAACTTCTCAAAAGTCTTGGCAAGCAAAGAACTCTCTCTGTATCAAAGAACTCTCTCTCTCTTTCTCTCTCTCTCTCTCTCTCTCTCTCTCTCTCTCTCTCTCTCTCTCTTTCTCTCTCTCTCTCAGATTCAGAATCAGAATCATCTTTATTGGCTAAGTAGCTAAAAGCACACAAGGAATTTGTCTCCGGTCATATGATCTACACTAGCATTGCAGTATCATAAACTATGAAACTCTCTCTCTCTCTCTCTCTCTCTCTCTCTCTCTGCATTTCTTTC